CACTAGAGCAGCTTGCTCCAAGCCCCTGTGTCCAACCTGGCCTTGAACACTGCCAGGGATGGGGCAGCCACAGCTTCTCTGGGCATCTCGAAAGGTGGTGCTGGCTCCTGACACTGTCCTGACGCTTTTCATAAGGGTGCAGCTATCCAGTATTTAATATCTGAATCAGTTATCCAAGATACCTGGCAACTGACAGCCCAGAGGGCTCGCAAGACCAACAGATGAGACTGCTAAATAAGCTCACGTATGGCTCTACTATCCCACCCCACTCAAGACACATTTGATCTAATCAGAATGATTTAGAGGCCAAAGAGCAAGGGAGGAGCAATAGGATGGATACAGCGACAGCTACCCTAAAAGTCCATTTATGATAGCGATAAGAATTGATTGATGCACAGGAGGTGACTCAAAGCCAGGTCCCCAAGCCTCGAGGGGTTTCAGTCAGAGCCCCGGTGCAGAGCTGCCTCCTCACCCAGGACTTCACTGGAACCTCATGTTCACCACGGCCAAACGCCTCTGTCAAAAACCTCAGCTCTCACATCCCGCATAGCTTTGCCTTAAGAAATACAGCGCCGTGTCCCCCCCAAAACAAGGACATCCTCAGGACAGATGAAAAAGCAACCAGATAAAACAAAAGCTAGAGCGAATATTCCCAGCCTCAGACAGAAGCAGCTCCCACCTACCGCAGTTCTCAAGGAGCATCCCGATCGCCGAGGTCCTGCTCTGCAGCCAGCAGCTGTATGGCTCAGAAACAGTTAAACCACCGCCGACGTCAAACCGACACGGGCAACTGCGTTAGGGCTCTGCAGGGACCAGCTCTGCAGGGACCACGTGGAGCAATGCCAGGGGCTGCTCCGACCGTCGCAGATCCCCGTTTCCATAACGTGAGTCCCCGGGCGAGGGGAATACCGGCTCCGGAGCTCAGTGATTCATCCCGGCTTGTAAAAACAGGAGACGTGGAAGTCTCTTTGTTTCGCTGGCTGCTGCACAGGCGAACAAGCCTCTCTTTGTGCGGCGCTCCGGCTATTTTAAAGCACGTTAAACAAAGGAAGTTCCAGCGAAAGACTAAACAGCTCGGCACCGCTTAAGGGAAACATCACGTACAAAGAGGGCAAGATTCGGGGCTGATGGCCGGGCAGGAGATGGGAGAGCAGCGTGGAGGCTGTGCAGCGCGGCACATACGCCGCTGGCACTCGGCCCCGCACCGCACTCGACCTCTACCACTCCACCGCGGAGTTTACATTAGTGTCCAGATGTTTATTTAGCCGCTGGCTCCTGAACGCTAGGTGCGGCCTCGCTCCTCTTTCTGACCAAAATGCCCTTGGAAAAAACAAGCAAAATGACATCAGTTGTGTTTATCTTAACAGCTTCTGGCCCACAAGCAACCAAGATAGGAGTGTGGAGCCCCAGCGTGCCCTCAGCCGCTGCCCCAAAACGGCCTTGGGTGGCAAGGTTTGGGTTGGGTTATCCCGCACTTGGGAGTAACGGAGACGTCTCTAAGAGCTGAGAGAAGAGAGCTTAAGGATTTAGTCTGCAGTGGTGGCAGGGAACAGGCTGGGTGTTGAAAGTTCTGAGGGCACAAGGCAGGCACCCTGACGACAACACCTCTGCCTACTCAGAATCAAAACATCCCCACAGACCACAAATTACGTTATCTGCCCATTTGCTTACTCAATGGACTGAAAAGCTCTGAATAAGACTGAATTTAAGGGGGTGGAAAGGTGCTGCTTAGGTCTGTTCAATATATCTGTTTTACCTGTGATCTGGGCTCTATTCTGCATGGACTGGCAGGCGGATGTTGAGATAAACCACATTTTCTCCATCCTTCATTTCTACAGTAAGTTCTAAAAACTTGGAGCTGGCCAGAGCAGCTTCAGCTGGGAAAAATGCTTGCTCCTTTTTATGACCCGGGGGATGGATGATCCTGTCCTCCCCAGATCCCAAATTAGGTAATAGAGCTGAGGGGTCCTGCAGGACAAGTGGGGCTGCGGACAGCTGCCTATGTCAAATGCAGCATTACAGGGTGGCCACCAAGAGAGAAAATCCCCTGTCTTTTATCAGCAGGCTCATGACTCACAAATCCTTCAGAGCCCCAGCAGTTGCCTGAGCTGGAAGCTGGAGAGGGAGATAAATGCAGGGGAAAAAGCCTGTATGTGTTATAATGAGGTAAAGATGTGCTGCCTGCTTCTACAGGCAGCGCTGAGCGCCTCTGAGCTTTCCGCAGGTCATTCTGTTTCACTGCAAACTGCAGTACCATACTCTGCTCACAGCAAAAGACAGTGTTAGGAAATCAATTCCCTTCACGTCGGTGGCATTCCCTGCAAGCAGGGAGTTTTCCAGGCAGTTAGTTGGGAAGTTGAGGCATTGTGCATGGGCAGCGGCTCTGTAGCAGAGGCTGGCAGCTGGAGCAGGGACTCTGCTCTGGTAAATGCATCAGGACTCATGGATGCTGCCAACACACCCAGGGCACAGAGCTCCCCTCTCTGCCAGTTTATGTCTGATCCCTGCTCTGGCCCTGCAGGGTCCCACTGTGGAAGCAGCGCCGCTCCCCTGGCTCACGCTGATGTCAGTGCAACCAGGCTGTTAGCTCACAGCAAGATCAGCTCCTCATTTCCTCACTCCTCCGGTAATTAACTCACACCTTCCAAAAAGCACACGCACATGTTTGAACCCATGCTTTCCAAACCCCATCAGCTTAGAGCCAGGATGCATCCCACATGGCATCATCCATCCATCCATCCCCCCCCTTTCAGCGATTCCTTTCTGGAGCAGGACTTCCGAGAATCCCCTTGCAAACACGTATGCCGCCATCCTCCCCCTCTGCCTCGCTGTTGTTGCAACTCTGGGTTTTCTAAACTACGTCTGTCAGGAAGGAGACAGGAAATTCGAGTCACACTTGCAACAGCTGTGCCATGCCTACTATCAGTCGCAAATGACGTAGTTTGGCTTGGGTGGCGTGGGGCCAGGAACTCGGCGGAGCGGAGGTCAGGGAGATAGGTCACTGTTTATACTGCTCTGCGCTTGGGAGCATGCCGAGCCCATTTGCTTTCTTCCTATCTCTACTGTTTCTCTTTCCGTTTTTCTTTAATAACGTGGAGCCCAAGCATCCTGTTTTCAAAACATCGGACTCGTTTGCTGTTTACCGGTGACAAATTCAAATGCCTCTGAGCGGAGCTGGCGCTTGAATGGGTCACTTGGCTCCGGGACAGACAAGGACCGCTGCAGCCTCCTCCGCAAGATGCACATTTCAAACCCAACAGCTTCTCACACTGCAAGATCGCCCTGCAGATAGCGTCTGCCACCAAAACCACAAACTCCCAAACGAATGTGTGTCCCTGTTCATCACTGATGAGGAAAGGAACCGAGCTGTGAGGCCATTTTAGGCTTCTCGTTTGCTGATGAAAATGATACTGGAAGTTGACCAAAAAGCGCAGACATGTCAGAAACTGGTTGTGAAAGAACAGTTTGGGGAACCTTTTGCTCGGCTCTGCTCTAAATCGTTTGCACACGGAGGAATCACAACTTTTAGTCACTACAATAAGCAATTTAGTGAGTCTTTCACCGTCACAAGTCCAGCTTTGGCACTCAGCAGGAAGAAAATCAACTCCAAATGAAGGGCTTTAGTGTCCACCCTGGAGGTGCAGCCTCCTCTGCAGCCTGAACCTGTTCCAGCTTTCACCCTGGCTTCCCTCAACACAAACTCAGGAAAAAAACTATATTCCTTTCTTGAAAGCTGGGTCTATAAAACTTTTATTGCTTCCTTTGCCCCTGCACATCGCGGCAATCGCAAACAGAGGAGGAAGCTGAAATAACACGGGATTCCTTAGCTCAACTTTTTCCATAAAATCAAGTTGGTGATTCAGCATTTCATTAATTCCCAATTAATGGGAAAAAAACCCAGTAATATCGGGCTCCTGCAGCACAACTCAGAACTGGGTTTGACCACGGCCACTGGTCAAAGGCATGGCTGCAGCAGGCACAGCCCCTGTCCCAAAGGCGGGGGAGCCACCCTGGGGCTCTGATCCTCTCCATGGGACAAGGCACGGCTGTAAACGCTGCCTTAAAGCCTGGGTGCAAACCCGGGCTCGCCAAACCAAGGCAGAGATGGGGGGAGCCGCCAAGCGCTGCCCCAGGGGAGGGAGCGACTCCTTCCAGCAGCATCACCCGGGCGACTTACGGTCTGCCCTGGGGAGATGCTGCAGAGAAGGAGCTTGGCTGATGCTTTGGCTCGGAGGGACGGAGCTGGGGAGCCCGGCTCCAGCACCGGGGGGGGGGGATGCGGGGGTGTGGAGGAGGAACACCAACTTCCAGCACTTCATCCTGGGCGTTCAGACCTCGCACTTCGCTTTCCTTCCCCTCTGCTGCTCCTCAGTGTACTCCTGGGACTCTCCTCTCCCTCCTGCTCCTGACTCGCAGCACAAGGCACTGCTCTTTATGTTAGCACCTCACTCCTCGCAGCGAACTCAATTTCCCTTTTCGCTCACGGCTCATTAAACCCCCCCTAAAAGACGAAAATAAGGTGGCGGGAGGCGGGGGAGTAGCTCATTCCCACTCCACAGTCCTTGACTTCGCACCCTCCTCATGTGCTGGCAAGCGGTGCGGAGCCAGCCCACCACATTAACCCCCAAATCAAAAGCTTTCCGAAAGGACAGAACAGCAATAACGCACCACGATGTTTAGAGTTTGCCGTTATTACGGCCAGGCAACAATGAGGATGATTGAAATCTGATGTGATAATTTGTTAAAAGCGGCGGTTTTAACAGTGTTCCCGGTTAAATCGGTTCCGAAGGGACCGGCGCTCACTGAAAGCTCTCTGACTTCTCAGGAGCGAGCCTGGCTCGTTACGGGGCAGTCAGAGAGGTGCGGGTCGCTCTCCCCATACTGCCCCGCCGCCAGTTTTATCTGCGGGGGAAACCCGCATCTCTTTTCCCGGGAGTAACCTGGAGTTACTCTCCCGCACACCCCGCTGCCGCGCACCGCATCCCCGCCGCTCCGCTCACCTTGTTGGATGCCATCTCACTGACGGAGCGGTAGGTCTGGATGGTCTCCAGCTGATCCAGGCACCAGTCGAGCTCCTCCAGCGTCTCCATGGCCAGCTTCTGGTAGGGCTCCTCTGCGAAGAGGCACACGGACATGTACTCGGGCTGGCGCGGCTGCAGGCTCTCCATGCCGGGGCCACCGCCAGCGCCGCCGGAGGTGCCGCACCGCTCCCTCATCATGCGGCCGCCGCTGCGCTCCCCTCGCCGCCGGCGAGCAAATCCCCGCCCGCCGCTGGCACCCGGCACGGCCCCGGCCCCGGCCGCCCGCCCCGGCCCGCCCCGGCTCCGCCCTACCCCCGCGGGACGGGGAACCGGGCGCCCCCGGGCAGGGCCAGGCCGGGCTGCGGGAGGGAAGGGTGCCCCCACCCCGGCTGCTGCGGGACCCGGGACAAGCGCGCTGAGCCCGCCCGCGATGCGGGTCCTGCGCCAGCCCCGCTCCCCAACCTCACCGGGTCCTGCTCCCCATCAGCCCCGCACCTCAACCCTGCCTGGTCCTGCTCCCCATCAGCCCCTCACCTCAACCCTGCCTGGTCCTGCTCTTCCCAACAGCCCCGCACCTCAACCCTGCCTGGTCCTGCTCTCCCCATCAGCCCCGCTCCCAACCTCTCCTGGTCCTGCTCTCCCCATCAGCCCCGCTCCCAACCTCTCCTGGTCCTGCTCCCCCCATCAGCCCCGCACCTCAACCCTGCCTGGTCCTGCTCTCCCCATCAGCCCCTCACCTCAACCCTGCCTGGTCCTGCTCTTCCCAACAGCCCCGCACCTCAACCCTGCCTGGTCCTGCTCTCCCCATCAGCCCCGCTCCCAACCTCTCCTGGTCCTGCTCTCCCCATCAGCCCCGCTCCCAACCTCTCCTGGTCCTGCTCCCCCCATCAGCCCCGCACCTCAACCCTGCCTGGTCCTGCTCCCCATCAGCCCCGCACCTCAACCCTGCCTGGTCCTGCTCTTCCCATCAGCCCCGCTCCCAACCTCTCCTGGTCCTGCTCTCCCCATCAGCCCCGCACCGCAACCCTGCCTGGACCTGCTCTCCCCATCAGCCCCGCACCTCAACCCTGCCTGGTCCTGCTCTTCCCATCAGCCCCGCTCCCAACCTCTCCTGGTCCTGCTCTCCCCATCATCCCCGCTCCCAAACACTCCTGGTCCTGCTCTCCCCATCAGCCCCACTCCCAACCTCTCCTGGTCCTGCTCCTCACCAGCCCCACACCTCAACCCTGCCTGGTCCTGCAACCTAACCCCAGAAGCCCTGTACCCCAGCTGTGTCTGGCCCCGCTCCCCTCCAGCCCTCCTCCCTAACCTGAACAGCCCTGCTCCCCAGCCCTGCTTGGTCGTGGCTTTCCAGCCCCACCAGTCCTGCTCCCCAACCCTGCTAGCCCTTCTCCCTAATCCTGCCTGGTCCTGCTCCCCGCCAATCCCTCCTCCCCAGCCCCACCAACCATCAACCCTGCTCCTGTCAGTCCTGGCTCTCCAGCTCTGCTGCCATTGCTCCAACCAGCCTTGACCATGCATCCCACCAGCCCCACACCTGATGGTACCACTGCAGTGCTATTCTACTGTGCTCCCCCCAGACCCTGCACCCCAACCCTGCCAGCCCTGTTCCCTGCTCCCACCGAGTTCTGCTGCTTGACCCTGCCGCAGGCCAGCGCGCTCCTGAGCAGCTCTCAGCACAGAAGTTCGGGTTTACATAAGCGGATACAGTGAATCATACAATCTCCCCATGCTTGTAACTGCTTCTCGTAACAGCGGTGACATGTGCTTACCACATAAATCTGTCAAAGTTAATGGATTCAGCATTTCTGATGGCACTGGCCAAGCAGGTAACAGTGACATCAGAGGTCAGGATTGCTGCCACAGACTAGCAGCAATGCATCTGCTGTGCAGTGCACACACTGCATTCACATATGTCTCGTGTGTGTACACCCTTGTCATCCCTGTCACACGCTGGTTGGGGCTGCATGGGGTGTGCTCCTCCTCCAAGGCCCCCCAGGTCCTTGGGAGAGGAACTGCACCTCAAGCTGCCATCCATCCACCTGCCTTCACAAGGAGAGATTCTCCTCATTCCCCATCCTCATCAAGCACTGCACAGCATTAGAAGTTCTGTATAGAGACCATGCGTTCATCATAGAATCCCAGACTGCTTTGGGTTGAAGGGACCTTAAAGCTCATCCACTTCCAACCCAGCCTGTCCATACAGTCCAAAGCCCCTCTCCAGGTTTCCTGTAGCCCCTTCAGGCACTGGAGCTCCTCTAAGGTCTCCCCTTCAGGAGCCTTCTCTTCACATGGCAGACAAAGAACCACTGCCAAGGAGTAATTCAGCAATGAACTCACAGGGAGCACTTGGCACAGGCACACTTTAAAGATTCAGTAAATCTGAACCCTTGTGGCACTGGAAGTTAATGTTTTTTCTGGGCTCACAGAGCTCCAAACATGGCAAGTAATCTCGGTCTTGCATACTTGTGTGATACATACATCAAAAAGCAGGTGGCAATAGCCAAAACACACAGGACTGGGGTGTATTTTTCTTTCTAAGACACCTATTCTCTATCAGCTACTTTATCATGTCAATGAGTTGCCCTGGAAGGGCTCAAATTCCTTGTAATAGAAAACGTTTGCATTGATAAAACTAACATGGGCTAAATCGTGATTTTAGGAACAGGGAGAACAATCTCCTCTGCCCAAGTGAAGAGGAGCTGCCCGTACGTTTAACTAAGGCGCTGTGCTGCATCCCATGTGTCCTCCAGCTCCAAGGGGCTCACAGAGGGGAGAGCCTGTGACACCAGACCCTAATTTAGCCCTTTGGGGTTCTCCAGCCTTGGCCAGGGTCAGGGTTGTGGGACCCACTGTCCCAGCAGCTCCTCCTAAATCTTCCATTCACTTAAATCTCTGACAGAGCCCTCAGAACACAAATCAAACCTCAAGACTCATAGAATCCCAGCCTGGTTTATGTTGGAAGGGATAATCCAGTTCCAACTTAAAGCTCCTCCAGCTCCAACCCCTGCCACGGGCAGGGACCCCTTCCACTAGAGCAGCTTGCTCCAAGCCCCTGTGTCCAACCTGGCCTTGAACACTGCCAGGGATGGGGCAGCCACAGCTTCTCTGGGCACCCTGTGAGCTCCAGAGCTGATGATGGGTTCAGGCTACTCCCTTGGTTTGTTTGTTGAGTTTTGGGTAATAAAAGAAGGCAAAATAAACCAAAACAAAATGCAGAATCAAGGAAAGAGGGTACATATCCAGCCCCATCCCTCCCTGTGAGCCGCTCTGCTGCTCCACTTCAGAACACCTGAGCAGTGTGTGGGGGGGTCCCTCCAGGCTGAAGCCTCCTTTGCCCATGTAAAAGCATTATCACTCAGGGAGGCCTTTTCAGCAAAACCATTTAGAGGCCAATAGAAGGACGATTTAATTGCAGATGCTTTGAGGACCACCACTTAGTGTATCTCCAGTCCTTCCAGTGGCAAAGATGGAATAGGGTGATAGTGACCAGTTCTGCCTAAGTACCATTTTAAGATAGAAAAAAGGTGAGTCCTGCTGCTGTTGGGAGGTGTTTGGGGCCCACCCTCCAAGTGTATTTCCATCTAAAAGCACTTTTCCTTCAGAACTTGCTTTGTCTGACACTACCCACCCTGCCCATTCCCACCGGCCTGCCCACAGCCCTGCCTGGCTCTGGGGACCTGGGAATCTGCATCAGCCCACCCTGGAATGGCTCTTCTGAAATTCCTCAGTGTCTCCTGGGTTTGCCTGATCTAAGGATTTGTTCAATCATTCCCTTAAGCAAAGGAGCCCTGAGAAGGGAGGTCCTGATGATGTGTGTGCCTCCTTCCAGCAGTGTGCATGCATCTCAGCTCCTGCACCCTCCTTGGTCCTCAGCCCCTCATTTCTCAGCCTGCTGCAGGGGTTTAGCTCCATTTCCTTGGCCAGTAGCTCCATCAAACATACCACATTCCTATGAGTTCCAAGAAATCGGTCAAGCAGACTAGAAATCGTTGTCCTTCTGGACAGAAGGAGGACACCCCGAGCCCAACGCTTCCTAGAAACTCACTAACTGTCTCCCAAGCCACTTTCTATGTAATCCAGGCTGAGCCCAATCAAACGAAACCCCAACTGTTATCAAAGCAGCCCTCCTTGGGCTTGGACAACTGTTAACTCGATTGTGTTAAACTGGTGTGAACATTTACAGATGCATTGTGAAAGCAGTGGCTACAATTCCACAGATCAGGATAAAACTGCACCAGGCATTTATTTCCAGCATGTGAAATTAAAATACATGCTCCAAGAACGCAGTGAAATGCTGTAAACTATTCAAAGCCAACATTGGGGTGTAACACCAACTAGAAACTGCTCTTCTAGGAATGTAATAACTTTCCACAGGAACCATCTCAAAGGGAATAACAGATTTTTATAGAACCCCAGCCTGGTTTGTGTTGGAAGGGACCTTAAAGCTCCTCCAGCTCCAACCCCTGCCACAGGCAGGGACCCCTTCCACTAGAGCAGCTTGCTCCAAGCCCCTGTGTCCAACCTGGCCTTGAACACTGCCAGGGATGGGGCAGCCACAGCTTCTCTGGGCACCCTGTGCCAGCGCCTCAGCACCCTCACAGGGAAGAGCTTCTGCCTAAGAGCTCATCTCAGTCTCCCCTCTGGCAGGTTAAAGCCATTCCCCTTGGCCTGTCCCTACAGGCCCTTGTCCAAAGGGCATTTTCTAACCTTCTTAAGAGTTAATATTCATGGATACATACCACATTAATCACACTCAACTATGTTAACATTAACCATACATTTTGATACTGATAAGGCCGACCATACTTCAGAGCAGAACCCAACACCGTCACTACCAGAAGGAGCAGCTCCTTTCTTCCTGAGGCCACCTTCCACCCTGCTCGGTGGCCCCACAGCATCTCCCCTACAGATGGCACAGCCAGTGCTGTGTTCAGTATAACACAATACACAAGATACGTTCTTGACATCCCGTGATCCACCAGCACTCAGTGCCATGGGTTAGGGGCGGCCTTGGCAGTCCTAGGGTAATGGTTGGGCTTGATGATCTTAAAGGTCTTTTCCACAGTTGATTCTCTGATTCCATTCTATG